TGTCGGAAATGACAAAATCGAAAAGAGCGGACCGCCGCAAAGATATCCAAGATGGCGACGACACATCTAATTTATCTGATGGTCAATCAGACTACGAACAGAGTTCATCCAAATACTCTGAAGCTCCAGTGACGGAACGCAGCCTTCACAAAATGCTGCAAGAACTCAGAGCTACTATAACAGTGGACTTTCACCGCATTAATGGTGATCTGAGGAAAGAAATCTCTAATATCGGTGACAGAACCAGTCACCTGGAAAATAAAACGGACGAGCTCTGTATAGCACATAACGAAGTAGTGGACAAAGTTCAGAAATTGTCTGAAGAAAACTCTTTATTACGTGACAAACTTGCTGACATGGAAGACAGGTCAAGGAGGCAAAATATAAGATTCAGGGGCATACCGGATGATGTTACGCAAGAAGCACTACCAGCGCACATTCTATCTATATGTAACACCCTGGTCCCGGGCCACCCTGGTCCCGGGCCTACCTAACTCCGCATGGGCTTATGATCGTATGCACAGACTCCCACGGCCTGCGCATCTATCAAAAGAAGTCCCTAAGGATGTTATCGTAAGATTTCATTACTTTGCTCACAAAGAAACTTTGCTGGCAGCGGCGAGGAAAGCCCCAACACTCCCAGAACCTCATCAACGGATCGCACTTTTTGCCGATTTATCAGCAGCTACAATGGAAAAACGAAGGGGTTTCATAACAGTAACTAAAACTTTACGGAACAACAACGTGGCTTACAAATGGGGTTATCCAACCAAATTAATCATCTGGCATCAAGGCCGCAACCACATAGCGATTGACCCTACAGAGGGTATGAAGTTGATTTCAGCTTGGGGGCTATGGACTGGTACCCCTCAACTCCAAAGCAACTCCATCCCCGAGGAAACTTCAAGCAGACTGGCAAATGGCGAAATCACCAGCCAACACTCCGTGACTTCCTTATGGTTACTTATGTCCACAAAGTTATTGATAAGTATCTTGGATATGTAATTGAGTTTATAGCAAGTTCTCCGATTTTATACCTGTATGTTCAAGCTGGTACTGTCGGGATATTGTCAGTTTAAGTCATGTATATAGTTTATATTGTTGTGCACACTATATTCAAAGCTAATGCTATTAAGGGATTATGATATTTATGGCTCACTCGTGGAACGCTGTGCAGACTGATAACCTGGGTACCTTTCAATGTAACATCTTTATGAAGGTACTAGATACATATTTCCTGCATGTAGCGTAGTTAATACCGAGCTTCAAGTACATCTATCTCAAACCTAAACTGATACTGATCTGGAAGTTCGGGCCACATGTTCAACTCGCTCTGTAGAACAGTTATAGTCCACATGATTTGCAAATATTTTGAGTGCTTTTTACAATGTGTGGTTGCATGCCCAATATGTTTAATTCCTTCTAAGGGGGCGAGGTCTTCTTTGCACGGCTGTGTATTGAGGCTCAAGACAGTGTTTCACCCCTGGTACTGGTGCTCCAGTCCTGGAGTGTTATATTTATATATATATATATTGTTAGATTGCAGGCAAGATTAACCGACATGGGCGCACATACCCAGAGCCTGTATCCATATTATAATTAGCAACCAGCCATAACATTGTCTAGCCGATGACGCTGCCGCAGGACGAAGAGGTGTTACTTATATCTATGATGCCTCACCCTGTGTTGCACCTAGAAGTATCTACTACTGTAGATGTACCACGGTAATCACTCGCTATATAACAAGAGACGGCTATGTAACACACATTGAGATGAATAGACTTGCATTCATACCATGCAGATTATTCTGAGCCATTGGTCGGGAGGAGCCCACAAGACCTCCCTAGGTCGCCATGGGATGTGTTCTTACATATCCTACGGATGACGGTTTATGTGGAACCCATTAAGGGTTTCCTCTGTATATACCTGTGTTATTGTTATTGTTTGTTTATCCATGGTTTTTTCCCTTTCCCTCCCCCTCCACTTCCACCTTCACAAGTAGGCTTTTTTGTTCACACCACATCAGACCATTACATGACATTTGGAAGTATCCACTTTGAAGGGAATATTATGAGTGGCCCCAATATGATCTGGGCTCCCATGCCCCCGGAGTGGGCAATGAGGTATACCTCAAGGGGTGCTATTCTGCACAGATCCAAACTAAGTTGCGACAGAGGTCCCAATTACCGCCTCACTTTATGATATAGATGCCGCCTAATACACTACAAATCTTTTCCCTTAACGTTAAAGGCCTCAATAGCCCCTACAAACGAAAGCAACTGTTGAAGGACATACATAAAGCAGGAACTGCGATTGTATGTGTCCAAGAGACGCACTTCGCGAACCGTAACCCTCCTCAGATCCGTTCCCCAATGTACCCACAAATGTACCACGCTTACTCACCAACCAAGTCCAAAGGTGTTGCAATTTTTTTCCACAAAGATTGGCTTTACACAGCTCAAAAACAATTTACTGACCCAACTGGCCGCTTACTGGTCCTGGTAGGCGAACTGAATGGTATTCAAGTAACTGTGGTATCGCTTTACGCTCCTAATGAAGCTCAATTCTCATTTCTTAATAAAGCAATTAAGAAAATAAATTCCATCAAACAGGGCCATGTTATCATCTGCGGCGACTGTAATTGTACCCTCATGCCCTCTCTAGATATACAACGCATCAAAAACAAACCTCCCAATAAATTATCTATTCATAATAGTAAACTGTTCTCTCGGCTTCTCCATGAGCAAGATCTATATGACACATGGAGAAATTTATTTCCAACAGCACGAGATTACACTTACTTCTCACAGGTACACCTAACATACACACGCATCGACCTGTGCCTAGTCGACAAACATACCCTCCCACATCTTATGGACCAATCCATTGGGCTTCGGACATGGTCCGACCATGCCCCCATCCTGGTTACACTAGCAGTGCCATATCCCACAACAGGGAGAGGTAAATGGCGCTTGAATTAATCTCTCCTTGATAACCCTGCTGACACTCAATATATCTCCACGGTACTAGATAATTACTTTGAGGTTAATTCCACTGAAGATACCACGGTAGAAACTCAATGGCTGGCACACAAAGCAGTTGTCAGGGGTCACTTCATTAAATTGGGTTCCATAGCTAAAAAAAGCTATATATCTAAAGAGACTGCACTTCGCCATACCCTTAGGAAGTTAGAAGAATCCAATAAACAATCCCCATCTAAATCAGTCACCCGTCAAATCACCAAAGTACAACAGGATATTCACCTTCTTCAAACGCAAATATACACCAAGCAAGCACGTAAAACTCAACAATTGTATTACTTTTCAGGGAACAAGGCAGGCAAGATTTTGGCTAATCAACTGAAAGCAAAATACCTACAAACTAAAATCCCTTATCTATATTCCAAAGATCACGTACGAATATATAACCCGAATACGATTGTTGAAGAACTGGCCAGTTTTTATGAGGACCTGTACAATCTTCGCAATAGCCCAAACACCAAATCCCCCAGTGCTGTAGACATTACACAATATCTCTCCCGAATCACACTCCCTCAAATACCGGCGCATCACATGAATCTTTTAGACGCACCGTTTACGGAAACTGAAGTGGGTAATGCGATTAAATCCCTGCCAAAACATAAAGCACCGGGGCCTGATGGTCTCTCCAACTACTATTATTTGAAATTGGCATCGCGATTAATACCACACCTTACAAAATTATTTAACAAAATAAGAACGACAGGTAAATTCCCACAAGATATGCTGGAAGCCTACATTATCACCTTGCCTAAGCCAAATAAACCACCAACATATTGCAGTAACCTCAGGCCGATTTCATTGCTTAATGCCGACGTTAAGTTGTACGCCAAGCTGCTTGCCAACAGAATTCGCCCCCTGTTGTCCGCATTAGTCTCAGAGGAACAAGCGGGCTTTGTTCCTGGCAGGCAGGTTGGGGACAACACCAGATACTGTATGGATTTAATTGATTGGGCCAACCTCAAAAATAAATCAGGTGCCTTGTTGGCGCTAGATGCGGAAAAGGCATTTGACCGCCTAAATTGGGAATATATGTCCAAGACTCTGTCGGCCTTTGGTTTCTCCAATGCTTTCATTACCAGCATCATGGCCTTATACTCCGCCCCTTCTGCTAAAGTTTTCAGTTCCGGCTTCACATCAAGAAATTTTCGCATAACCAACGGTACGAGGCAAGGGTGTCCCTTGTCACCCTTGATCTTCATCTTATGTTTGGAACCTCTAGTTAGAACGATCAAGCTTGACGCGGCGCTACCCGGTATAGATACCCCGGCTGGAGAAAAAAATTGGCACTTTTTGCCGATGATGTAATTATCTTTTTAGCTAACCCAGCTGAATCCATCCCCCACCTATTACAAACACTGGCCACATATGGAGACATCTCTTATTATAAGAATAATGTTAATAAAACCCAGATACTCCCCATAAGACTTGATAAGCAATTGGTGAGCGAACTGAAAAACACATACCAATTTGCGTGGCAAACTAACGCAATTTCGTACCTAGGTATCAAATTAACGCACTCCAAATCCCTAACTATAAAGGAAAATCACATAGCGGTCCTGTCCAATATTACCAAACAAATGGACTCTTGGAACAATCTCTACACATCATGGTTTGGTAGAATAAATTCTATTAAAATGATGATTGTGCCACATATACTCTACCTATTTAGGTCATTACCCATCGTCTTACCGAATTCGCTCCTTCAACGTTTCCAAAGGGCAATTAACGCTCATATTTGGAAGAAAAAACCCCCAAGAATATCTTTCCACTCTCTATGGCGCCCATTCAAAAAAGGCGGTCTTAACGTTCCCAACATCATGCTCTACTATAAAGCAACCCTGATGTCGCAAAGCCTCTATGTTATGATGGGCACACACAAACCAGTATGGGTAGATTTAGAATCCGCCTGTGGGGGTTCACATTCCCTCTATGATGCCCTATGGTCCTCCACCCCCTTAGCATCACCCTCCATGCTCCCAACATCACGATATCTTACAAAATCATGGTCTACGTGGAACACAGCAATATGGCCAAAGGCAGAATTACTGTACCTTGCACCATTGTCAGCCCTCTCCGCCTTATCTCCCGACCTCCAAACATCTAAATGGTCAGCCTTAGGGGTCACACATGTACATAAAATGTTTGGTACAAATGGCATTCACCCTTTCCCAACACTGCAGGAACGGTACAATTTACCTTCGAGGGATATTTTCTTGTACCTGCGTGTTAAACATATCTTAATATCACATTCGATTGAGCACGTTGACCCGCTGTCACTTAGTAATATAGGTGCACAATGTTACCATACTAGACTGATACGTCCCTCTTGCAAACTTCTTTCCCTATGTTATAGGACGCTGTCTGATATTCACTGACCCTCTAAACTACCTTACATGAAGCAGTGGGAGACATCGTTAGGAATAACCCCAACTCTCATAGAATGGGAACAAGCCATCACCTACACCAAACAATCTTCGAAGTGTGTCACACTATGGGAAGCCTACTTTAAAATGTTAATGAGATGGTACTTGGTCCCGAGCAGGATTCACAAAATTTACCCCAATTCTCCCTCAATATGCTGGCGCTGCAACTCCAGTTTAGGGTCTATAGAACATATATTTTGGCACTGTCCCAATCTGCAAAACTTTTGGAAGGCTATCCAAACAACCATTCATGCGATCTGTAAGACTACATTCCCGCTAGCCCCAGAAATTTACTTGCTCCACATTATCCCTAACCTACGTGATATACCATCTAGAGACGCAGTATTAAATATACTAGTGGCAGCAAAAATCAGCATTGCAGCCCATTGGAAAGACACCAAGCCCCCTTCTTTGAAGGAGGTTCTAGGAAGGGTAGAGGTTACATACCACCACGAATGCGAATGGGCAAAAGGAGGTAATGGGTCACACGTTCTGGACAGATGGAAAAATTGGGAGTCTTTTAAAGATTCTCATGCTACAATGTAAAGAACTGCACTAGCTACAGGTATCCCTCCGGTAGTTGAAAGAAGTGAACCCGCAACTAGACTGGATAATTTAGTATAAGGCCTACCACTATAAGACAAGTTACCAGGCTATATTATCCCACTATACCTAGTAAGACTACTAAACCACAACCATACCACTTATATGCTATACTCCGCTATAATAAAAGTATTATAACTCACGACAAGATGCGCCCTACTGTATCCTTCCCACCCACCTCTCCTCCCCTTTCAGTTATTACGGTTATCTCATGTATATATTTGTAACTGTTTACTTTATATTATGTTCTTATTATGCTAAGTATATGACACATAGCTATTTACTTAGGAGCAGTAAGAATGTTTAGAGTGTTGTGTCCACACCATGGGTCGTGGAGATCTCAGGTACATTACATAACTTTAGCCCATTATCTATAAACTCTCACAATACCACAACATATGGCAAGACCATTTGGTCTATCAGTTACCAATATTGGCGATACTACATACTCTACACAAACAGGCCAAGCTACCCTGCATTACCTTCACAGTTGTGTTTTTTCCCTTCTCTCAATGCCATGCCTTCATATTTGCTATCCTGTTATTGTTATTGGATACTTGGTTTGTACACCAGGCAGATAATAATGCTGTAGAAGGGAGAGCGGCTTAGATCAGTCGTGTATAAAATATGGTGACAACTATCGAAATTTCATGGCTACATCAATAGTAGTGTTTACCTGTGTATCCCCATATGGATGTATGTAGGTACCTAATGCGCCAGACAGCTCCTTCCCTCATAATGGTGTATTTATATAAGCTTTGTATAAAGTGAAACGAGATAATAAGGCTACTGTACATGTTAATACCGTAATTTTATGTTCTTTCTTTTCTTTTCTCTTATTTGTGGTTTGTACTATGCTGTATGTACTATGTTATATGAGGAATCTGTCTCCTCTATTGTACCTCTTTATAAAACAATAAAGACATACATTGAAAAAAATAAAATAAACGTTTCAGTTTATTTCAGAAATAGACATCCATCTAACTTATTTTATATAGGGTGGTATAAGCATTGAGGATGTCAAACCCTTTAGGCTGACTTATTCTGGAGTGGGGCGATTGGTGTCCACAATTTGGGTTAGGCAACCATCCCTTATGCCCAGTGAGATGATGGCTGACCAAGGAGTTTAGTGTGACATCAGTTGGTTGGATGTCTATTTCTGACATAATACGGAGTGGGGTGATTGGTGCCCACCCTTCTGGGTCAGGCTACTTTCCCTAATACTCAGTATGAGGATGACTCAACACAGATTACCCATTTGACTTCAATTGTAACTCATAGGATTGATGTATAGGCTTACTCATGATCCGAGTTAGCTAATTATTTTGAACACAGGGTATTGGTGTTTTGAATGTATAACACACACCGTCAGCTTCTCTATAAGGTGATATGTGATGTTGGGCGCCAATTGATTCTGGAGTAGGGTGATAGATGCCAACTCTTTGGGTTAGGCAACCATCCCTTTTGCCCAGTGAGATGATGGCTGACCATTGGATATGTTTTTGGTCTTGGTTAGCCAAATGCATGCATCTGACCATATCAGGAGTAGGGGGATTAATGCCCACCCTTTTGGATTAGGCTACTATCCCTAATACTCAGTAGGATAATCACTAAGTACAGGTTTTCAATTGGTCTTGGATGTAACTGACTCACTGTATATATGTATAGTTTCACTTAAGACCCTAGAAGGTAAATTATCTGGTGCATAGAATTTTGGTGAATCCTTTCTGTGTTCTTATATATAGCTTTGGGGGTAGACTTTGTTCCACTAGTAATTGGTATCTCTGTATGTACTTAGCCCTGTGGGGGCATATGTTATGATTTTACCAATGGTATGTAGTTGGATCTTTACATTATACTATTGAATTCGTCAAGTTGTACATTTATATGTAATTGGGCTGTTTTTTTCAATAGGAGAGGAACAGCGCTACAGTACTGATCACAGGGGAGAATAGAGCTGCACACCTGAGGGGAAGGGTAACCCTCAAACCCTTCAAATAATGGAGAGCACAAGATACAACAAATACAGGGTGCGCTAAGTTGGACAATGAGAGATAATAAACAAAAATCAGCAATAATATAAAGAGTCTCTTAAAGTACAGTGAAGACCCGGAGTGTATATTCTTCAGTCCTTGCTTTGAATCCTCAGTGGTAAATATGAAATACAAAAGCAGAAACAGAGACCAATAGTGCAAAACTCTTTTAGGTAAGCTGGATCACGAACAACATAGAAGTAGAGAAGTGCCAACTCACAATATAAAGAGCTATGCCCAGCTCTAGGTAAAACAGCATACAGTGGTATTTAATACTCCCCACATGTAGGATATAACTGGACACTTGGAGGTGTGTCCTCAAGACTTCTTACACCATTCCAGATAAGCGTCAGCATATAAAATACATAAAAGGGGGAAAAACCCAATGATGCAATAACGTAGGTTAACTGCAACAACAGACAACACTGAGGTCCTAAGAGTGCCAACTTCCAATTGGGAGAGCTATAACCAGCTCTGAGTAAAACAGCATACAGTGGTATTTAAACTCCCCACATGCAGGATATCCCTCTAGTGCCGGTCTTATGAAATAAGAATCACAAGAGAGGGCCCATATGTTGTTTTCTTTCAATGTATGCTTTGATTATGGTTGGGCAATTCTGGGCAATTGCATTTACACTGTGAGATATATATATATATATATATATGTATATATATATATATATTATACGTATTTTGAGACCGCTGCAGTTTAAAAGTATTATCAATTTATAAAGCCCTAGCACTTTATAGAATAAGTCTAAAAAATGTTTTTAATCTTAGCTTTTGTGAAGTTGGATTGATTCCTAATAAGTTTTTTTGACATGATGTCTTATTTTGTTTACATTTTGTTTCTATAGTGACATCCTCCCGATGATGCCACATAACGCAGCCTCACGTGATGAGGTAATGACATCAATGTTACGTGATAATGTCACACACGCACGTGATGATGTCGGTGGAAACCGCGAGACTCCAGGTTGGGCGGACAGGGAGTTGATGGTGGTCCGGTGGTGGGTAAATTAATTGTATGTAATTGTATGTTCGTGTATGTATTTGTAGGTATATAAGGAAGTGTTTTCACTTTTGCAAGTTAGTCCTGATGAAAGTTTGTGTGTTTTTATGGCAAGCTGATTAAAAGCTAAGTTGTATTTTTATTAAGCCCTGAGGGTGCTATCTGGATTATTTTCTGTACATTGTGCCTGACATGCACCGGGCAAGTACCTGGAATATATGGAGTGCAAGATCTTTTTTCTTTTTTGTATATATATATATATATATATATATATATATATATATATATATATTTATATATAAAAATAGTTGGTTGATGAAAGTCCACAAGATGGACTGAAACGTTGATCTGTTTTAGAACCTTGAAATAAAAGTTATATTTTAATGGAATTCTGAGAGTGCAACCGACTATTTTTTCTATTTGGATGTTTAAGCCCTGGTGCTACACTCGGTTTGGCAAATTTTGGTGCCTGCAAGGTACAGTTTAACCTTTTTTTTTAATATATATATATATATATATATATATATATACACATACATATATATATATTTATATAGAATAAAGTTTGTGACTTATCAGTGACATGCATACGTTCATCACGTGTGTTCCTGTGCGCTTCCAGGTTTTACAATCAGTTTTGTTTCTTTTTGGGCACGTCTTTGGGAAGTCATATCTTAGTGTTGTAAATATTTGCACAATTTTCTAATTATGGTGATCATGAAAAGGGCCCGAACTGGTCAAAATATTGACCGTTTACATTGTAGGATGTAATTCATGTAATAAATAATTAGCTTTATTGAGTGCACCCCTGTTTCTATGGACATATATCATACTTACATATTATAACTCAAATGCTTAAGTTTTGATGGTAGACTTCCCACCTCTGATCTTATATGTAGATTTATTTTTAAAATTCTCAAATTACCGGCATCAAAAAGTGGGAATTTCTCTCTTTTCCACTAGATTTTTATTCTGTAAACAGCAAGAACTCTGGAAATTGTGAAAATCTGATGCTTGCCTCTATCAATGGTTCTTTTGCATTAGAATTTTCACACTGATATCAATAGACACAAAAATCAATAAACATTAATTTATTTATATTCACTTATATTTAAAGCATGAATATTGAAAGATACTCTTGATTGAAAAGCTTGTTTGAGCAGAATCCTCATTAACCTATTGTTCCTGTAACATTGCTATTGTCTGATTTATTATTACATTTCCCTTTCTGATAATATTGTAAAGCGACATGGAATGCGTTGGTGCTATATAAATACCAATAATAATAATAATAAACATTAACCACATACAAATAGGACTTGCCATATACCTTGGACATGCTGAACACAGAGTAAATAATATGTGATTTTATATTAATCATTTCATTAATATTAATACTTTCATATAACATTTGTAGATATTTCCACATGTGCAATTATTGTTTGAATATTTAAATAAAATGCTCTTTTTATTCTATTTGTTTTTTATGTTTCATTTTCCAATCACAATATTTAACTTACTCTTACCAATTAGCACAAGGATTAAAATGTTGCAATAAATCCAGCATATAACGGAGGGTTGTGATTCTAAGAAAACAAAGAATTTATGAAATAGAAGACCATACCACACACTAAAAAAAAAAAAAAATCAACTTAAAAGTTGATCCAATATACCTAAAAGAACACTGTAGTCACTATAACTATTCTTTCTCTTTGAGTTCGTTATGGTGTCTGGAGGCAATTTTTGAGAAGTTTATGACTGAGGGTTCTCATCTTCTTATAGCCTCACCCCCACTGGATGTATGCTAAGGCAGAGATTACAAACTTCATTGTAGCCGTATCAGTTGATACCTGCAATGTATATATTTTGCATAACTTTACAATAAAGGCTGAATGCGGTCAGCTGACATTCTTAGCCAATCACAGCTGCCCACTGCTGTTCAAGTTAATGCTTCCTCGTTAAACCTGATACCTTATTGATATTGAATGTAAGATTTTGTTTACTTTAATTTATTATCTCTAGAAGTATTATTATTGATTAATGTCCTAGAGGTCCCTGGGTTTTCACGAACACTGAATACTCTGGAGAAACTCCTGAATGACGTTTTCTGTGCATTCTAGGTGGCTGAGGAGATATGTGACCATGAGATATTCAGCACGCGTATTACATTTGTATCATATAAATTTCTATGATATTATAATATTTTTAGCATTTATATGTTATATACCATATCGTTTACAAACACAGTTACTGTCATGGTCATTAGTTAATATTTTTCCAAGCAAGTATTACTATTCTTACCAATTTCTTTTTTCACCAGAGCTGTTTCCGCTTATCCACTCTTTCAGCACTTGACACAATGATAGACATACCTATTCAATTCAATATAACCCACATAAATCTACTCATTGTTGACTTAAACCACATTTGGCATCCAATGTAAAGTTCAAGGGAGAATTCATTTTTGGGGACTTTCTACTTTGCACATTAAGCTTCCACAGGTCTCATCTCAAAGACAATTTATTCAGTGTAGACCAGGGCTGCCCAATAGGCAGATCCCCAGATGTTGTAGAACTACTACTCACCTAAAGCTTTGTCATTCTAAAGGTATGCAAAGCATCATGGGAGTTGTCGTTCTACCATATCTGGGGATCTACCTATTGGGCAGCCCTGGTGTAGACAATTTAAGATAAATAAAGAGTGTAAACACTCAAGGCAAGAGATAGATTGTGTGAGCAATGGAAACATTTCAGTTTATAAAATAATTCATGCCTCTTAATGGAATATCATAGATAGTACCAATAGACACAACGTTCTTATTATAGACAGGATCAGGTTTCTAAATTTTACCAGAGAAAATTATTGACCAGGAAAGAAATTAAATGGATACATCTTTTTGACACATGATCCCCAAAGGGTGAAGTTAGCACTCAGATTGTTCCTGTTTTATTCCTCCCACAGGTTTCTGGTCCACATATGGATATATCTCTTTTTATAATTCAATCTGTATAATTTTACAATCATCTATTATATTGTAGTAGCATATTTAATTTAATTGATTTGTGGTTGTTTTATTCTATTTCGATGTTCATTATTTGTCAGAAGGTTTATTCTTTGACGTTTAGTCTATAATTAGTAGATTTTGTCAGATTCTATTACAAGGAACTGTTTCTGTTAGATAATTGTTAGGGGTTGGCGTTTATTGACTGACCTTTACAAGATCATTATTGTTTAATTGAACAGACTTTTTTTTAAGCCTGGACATCAAAGAGGAAGGTGTATTAATGGTAAAGTTAATTTCCATGAACATTTTTTTCTCTTTTCTCATGTGATCTTTTATTGTTTGCAATTTATTTAATATTTTATTTTGTACACATTGATAATATATATGCACCAATATTTTTTGTCACACATGCCATAGCTGTTTCATATACATGCCTCTAGTATGAGTGAATTTGAGCAAATAAGCCCCCTGGAACACATTTGTGTCATTAGTGCTTTCTACCATGTTAATCACAATTATTTATCTACCACCATATAACCTTTGCTTACCTTAGTTTGCTCCAGAACCTCAAGGGTTATAGTAGTCATGTGGATTGTACAAGCTCTGCATTTCTCTTAAATGACCAGCGACTACACCTGAACATCAAGTAGCAGTCACATGGATAACCACCTATTCATTATATGAGTACCCATGGACATTTGAAGTATTCATCCATGGACAGCATCTATAGCTGCTATGGAGTGAACATTTATTTTGGGTACATTGTTTGTGCTACTTTTTTCCCTGAAGAGATATATTCATACATTGTATCTTCACTTCACCTACTAGAGTGTTGTTTGGAGGAATTCTAATCTTCCATCCATGGCAGGATTTATACCCATCTTTTATTCTCTATCAGCAATTCTATCTAGGATAGGATTCATTAATTAAAATTAAATATCGTAATTATGTTATTCAAAGTTGGTTTGTGCCCCTTGTTTCTAAATTGGATGACTACTGAAAATCTCTGTTACCTGTCATTGTAAAGTGATTATAACATGCACCTACGACAACAAACGCATGACATTCTCCCGTTTATGCTGAGATCTGCAGACTCCTGACAAATGAAGCTAGTTTTAACTCCATTCAAATTGGCTTTGCACACATGAAAAGGTCCTTGCACTCAAAGCAAAGTTGATATAATGTATTGGAAAAATATATCTTCTTTATTACTGGAAAATATTGTAAACATATATCTTATTTATTGTTTCAAAAAAATACATAGCACAATAAATTAGTATATGGCAGGCAGTAAAGTATTGTTCCATTATTACTAACCCAAAGGGGGACACAGGACTTTCACTGCTGAAAGCTCTTTTCTCAACAGCCCTCAATAGCCTAGATAAATCCAATTATTTATGTGTTCAGGAAACAAAGAAGTGGTTTAAAATAAGGTAAATGAACACAGTTAGATTGGATTGCAATTCAAATACACCATAAAATGTATTATATAAAAACACAGTTCTGGGGTAAAGGGTATCCAATGCACAACACACAATATATCTGTTATTACTTTAAAGGACCACTCTAGGCACCCAGACCACTTCAGCTTAATGAAGTGGTCTGGGTGCCAGGTCCAGCTAGGGTTAACCCATTTTTTCATAAACATAGCAGTTTCAGAGAAACTGCTATGTTTATGAATGGGTTAAGCCTTCCCCCAAAGCCTCTAGTGGCCGTCTCATTGACAGCCACTAGAGGCGCTTGCGTGCTTCTCACTGTGATTTTCACAGTGAGAGCACGCCAGCGTCCATAGGAAAGCATTATGAATGCTTTCCTATGTGACCGGCTGAATGCGCGCGCAGCTCTTGCCGCACGTGCGCATTCAGCCGACGGGAGGAGAAGAGGAGGATCGGAGGAGGAGAGCTCTCCGCCCAGCGCTGGAAAAAGGTAAGTTTTTACCTCTTTCCCCCTTCCAGAGCCGGGCGGGAGGGGGTCCCTGAGGGTGGGGGCACCCTCAGGGCACTATAG